TATGTTCTTAGCAGGAATATTTTGCTGCTATTTTTAGTCTCAGTTTTTGCTGACATGACTAGAATTCTGAGGTTCGACACGACAGCCGCCCTACTGCTGCGCGCAGCCACGCCACCGAGGCCGACAATTGCCCTGCAAAACATTTACACCTTTTCTTGACGTGTCTTTACATCCCCACGGCCCGGGGATGGAGAGGTCATCCTGTGGGATCACGGGGAGGACCCCATCCTGTGAGGAACCCTCGGGCCCCACGCACCCCCAGCTGCGGGGTGCCCACATCCTCTTAGAGTCACACTGAACTTCGCCCTCTGCACCCCCACGTCCCCCTGTTCTTCCCCTGGGCCTCAACGTCACGTCCTCAGGGACCACCAGACTCAGGTGCTCGCAGGGCTCCGCTGGCAGAGAGCCCCAGGAAAACCACTGCCGTGCTCTGGATCTGGAGGTCGCAATCTTGGGGTACGTGCGTGCCCTGCAGACCCCCTTCCCAGTCCCCCCACGGCTCCTCTCTATGGACAATACCGCAGGAAGTATTAGGAATTTACTCCCCAAACTCCATCCGTTTACTTACGACACCAGCACTTCTCACGCGCGGTGGTTTGATACGGACCTGAGTTACGCCTGCGCACCCCCCCCAGCCCCCTCCAAACCAGAGGTGATGTATTTAATTAGAGGTGATGATTGATGGCAGCTCGACAAAACCCAGACTGCTTCACAGCCCGGGGCAAAGGCCTCTCCACACGCTGCTGGGAGGGACTTGCGGAAGAACGCGCTGCCGAGCTCTAAACCAGCGCTCAGAGCTACCCTAAGGGGTGCGGGACGCTCCGCACGATCCGTGTGCACACGCCGTCGCCACCACAGCCAAAACGCCGCGTGGGGATGGTGGGAGAGAGCAGCTGGCACCATTATGCCCGTGAGCTCTCCAGGCCTTGATGTGCACTTCACGTAGTGCTCTGCTCCTCAGGCTTTGATAAAGCTGGTGAAATAGAAACTTGGCTGCTGCTTCTCGCAGAGCTCCACAGGCTCTGAGCGAGCCAACACACCAACACCCCCACGTTCTCTGCGTTAGGAGCCAAGTGCTTCACAGATGCGCGAACGGACACACACACGATTCAGTAACTGCCTGAGACGGAGTAGTTTCAGCTCTCCCATCCCTTGGGAAGGAGCAGGAGTTTGAAACGAACTCGCTAAATGCCGAGCGTGAGACGAGGTGTATGCATGGCCGGGTGTACGCGCGTCGGGGTGTACGTGCCGAACACCCCCTGGCTGGGTGTGAACACCAACCCAGCCATGGCGTGTGGCCTGGCGGTACTGCCGTTACCGACAGCCTCGCAACAGGCCGCGCTCCCAGGCCATCCCGCCCCACACCGTGATCACGGCCAAGCTTCCCCCCGTCATCAGCAACAAAGGACAAGTATTTGTTGGCCGAGCAGTTGCAACTGAACCCAGGAGAGATTCCACTGCCCTTCACTGCCGTCTGCGTCAGCCCTGAACGAGTTAAATGGTAAGCCATCCCCGCATTCCTCCCTCGCTGCCATTCCCCGTATCCGTATCAGGAGATTATCCTCGGTGCCAGAATCCACTGTCTGCATCTGAGTCTGTGGTTCAAAGGCCAAGTGCAGGAATTCCATTCTTAATGGAAAAAGCAGCTCCCCAAGGTCACCGTGGGCGTTCTCAGGGAAGCAGTCAGGCACGGGAAGAAACGCCTCAACCCGACACCTTTCAGGAGTCACACAAAATCTCATCAGCATTACTATGCGTGCTGTCACCGCTGAAGGGGCCGGTTTCGCCTGAAATAACGCTCACCGCAGGATTCGCGGTGTTTGAGGCAGGAGGTCCTGGACACCGCGGGTACCCGGGTGAAAGGATGAAGCGTACTCCTCACCACTGCCTGCCTGACTCTTTCCTCTTCTGGCCACTTGGAAAGTGAGCAAAAGTAGATCAGAAAGGAGAGGGAAAAGAGATGAAAGAGCGGGAAAGCCACCAGCTTCGTGAAGGATCACACTGCCGGCGCCGCGCGCATTCCTACTGTGAGAGCAGGGTGCGGTATCCCTTCAGCCACAGTGTGTCACACACGCATATCAAGGATGCATTAGCAGGGGATAGAGGAAAAATACGGGATTAAAGACCGTCCACTGACCTGCTCCGAGGAGCCACCCATCCCCGTGCTATCTGCTGCAGCCAGCAGCAGCCGCTGGCGCTTGGCCTGCTGGGATCCCGCCGTGTCGCGCACCGAGGCCTCCCGAGCTGGGAGCGTGCGTCACAGACCTCGCGGGGGACAGCTGACCTCCACAACTGGTCTGTGAGCACTTGGCAAAGAGCACGGCGTCCTGTGCTTGTTACAGGTACCCCAGTCTGAGCTCACGCTCAGAACACAAACTGGAAATGCTTTTGCTTCCCTGCTTTCCATGCCTGAAGCACGTGTCCTGAAAGCACTAGCTTCAAAATGTCCCCTCTAGGGAGAGCGCACAAAGACTGATTGTAAATAATAAGCCTTATACAGACCACTGTTATGACTGCATGAAAACAGCCGAAAACTATCCCTCTGCTTTAGAACTCCAGGGAGCACTGCAACACGAGACACCTCGGAAGCACAACACTAGGGTCTAGGATAACTCCCCCAGAACTCTGTACTTTTAACTACTGGTTCCCATTATAGTCAGTTTTGGGAGTCTTTACTACATCCCCTTTTAGAATTCTACCTCAAAACGGTTTTAGATTTTTAAATGAATACAGTTTGTTCCTAAAATAACCTTGAAAAAGGCAAAAACACACTCGTCTGAGCAGTACCAGGATTTATCTTCTCAAATTCTGCCAGCTTTTGTCTCCCTTTTAAATTTCTCAAACTCTCTACAACAGATAAAAACGTCAACAGGGAAAACAGCCTGTTCTTTACGAGGAACAAAGCATTTCACTGCGTAATGACCCAAGAGAACACGCCCCGAGGAGTTCGTGCTGGGAATCTTCACCACCTTCAGCCCCCAGCTCTCTGTTTTCATTACCCCCTCCGCTGGTTTTGTGCCATTCTCCCTTCGTCGTCAGCCCCCCAGCCTACCCGAATCCATACAAGAGAGGTGACACGGCTGTCTTTGGCCGCGTCATTAGCTGTTCCTGCAGCCAGAGAAGCACGCTGCGTGACTCTCAGCTCCCTGAACGCGGATCCGCTGACCGGTCCCGAGTTGCGCTGCGCTGCAGCCCTTCTCGACGGAACACCCTGCATCGTTCCCAGCGCGTGGCCAGGTTCAGCCCTGGTACAGGGCGACACGTTCCCAAAGCGTTTCAGGAAGAAAAAAAATGCAAATGTTGGTTGCACAACTCAGGGCTCCCTCCCCACCCCCGTTAGCTGATAAAATCAATGATTGTGCAGCTTTACCACAGGACCATTTTCAGTTTCATGTCTTTGTTCTTGTTGGTCAAGTGTTCCCTAAAATCCCAACAGCACGGCGCACGCTTTCACCTCACACACCTACAGCTCCGACAAACTGTGGACAATTACTTACTGAACACGTCTCCTCGGGGTTTCTGAGGCTCTAGCTGGATCCTGTTGTCATCTGTAATTCCTTGGGCCGATGTAGTTTCAACAGGAAAATGGGAAGGCTCTTCAGTTGTTACCAGAGGAGGCCTCTGTGGGGGTAGCGTAGGTCTTAACGCTGTAGGCTGAGGTGGTGTCGGAGGTGGAGGCCTCGTCGCTGGCTTCGTTACGGTCCTTGTTGTCACCGGCACATACCTCGTGGTTGGTTTTGGCGTCGGTTGAGCCGTTGGCCTGGGCGTAGGTCGAGTGGTTGGCCCGGGCGTAGGACGAGCTGTTGGCCTGGTCACCGGCCTTTCTGTAACAACAGAAGGAACATATGGAGGTCAGAGGGGTTGCCTTGTGCCTCCAACATCAGGAATCCTATTGGTCACACCACTGCCTCCCTTCGGGAGCGTGCTGCTGCCCCTGAGTGTGGGATATGGGCCAGGTGGTTCAATCATAACTTTGGGAATAACTGCAAAGAGAATCAAAACGGGACCAAAATGGACATCGGAGTGTGGTTTCACAGGGGCAGCTTGAGCAGACATGAACACAAGGAGGCCTGTCTCGGTGTTTCTAACTTTCTGTTCGTCTCACCAGAGACCTCAGAAGCCCCAGGAAGAACTCCAGTCACGTATGTTGTGCACCCGTGTTTCAAGTGTAACGCACAGTGAAAATGCAGAACTGCTGTTTGTTAAACAACGAACTGTTTGAGGACAGCAGGGAAAAAGGCTCTCTCTGGCCACCCCTTTGTTACCATCCTTTTGTGTACTCTGTGGTTTTTAACATTATGGTGCATTAACATGTAAAATGCACCTTGGGACAACGTCCCGGCAACACGTGGGAGCATGTCCACGCGTAATTGCAAGCGCTCGGGGTGCGAGGGATCGCCTTAGCCAGACGACGTTACCACCCGAGCTCCAGCCAAAGGAGACAGGTCTCTCCAAGAGATGGGGGAGTCCCCAGAGAGCAGAACCCGTGAACAAAGACGGGGTCCTTGACACAATCCAGATGTCACAAAGCTGCCCAGTCCCCTGGGATCCCAAATGTGGGGGAAAGCTGCTTCTCTCAAGAGGAAGGTGAGGAAGGGAATTCTCCAGCAGGGAATTCTTCCAGAGAAATCCTCCCTCTGGGCTCTGCTGACAGCTGGGGAGCGGATGGGGCGAGCTGCTGCAATGGGCCTGGTGTACATAACAACAAGGTGTGAGTAACGTGAACTGTCGGACCAGACCTACCCGGCTTACTCCGTCGTTGTCAGCCTGGAGCGATCTCTACACTCAGCTGCCAACAGGGAGAGGTGAATTTCTGCCTAATTATGAAAGAGTCTCGGGGAAAGGTATTTTTACCAAGGCATGCTAAGACTCGGAAAACTCTGACTACATTCCCTGGCCGCTTACTAAGTATTAAAAACAGTTAAAGTGACCCTGACAGTGCTGATTCTCAGAATTTACAACATGGGAGACATTTACTTTCAGAATTCCTTTTTTAAAAGGAGCATTACATACGGATGCAGTTTGTTCCATTGTCTCTGTACCCTTCTTTACACTTGCATTTGTAGGATCCTGGTGTATTGTAACATCGGGAGAAACTACCACACTGATGGTGGCCGAGGGAGCATTCATCTATATCTGCAACAGAAAGTTACGTTAAAAACATCAGTTACGTCAAAGAAACCTCATTTTCCGCTTCCCCCTGCTACACACAGTAGTGTAATCATTAGGAAACTATTAACTTTGAAAGATTTAATAAGACTGAATTGCCAGGGGGAAAGGGCAGGCAGCGTCACAAGCAGCGTGGTGACGCAAACGTGAGGGTAAGAGGGACTCTTGGGCAGTGCTGGCACTGCTCAGCGTATGCCTCAGCACCAGCCCCAGTGATGCGCTGGGGGTGATATATAGATATATATGTAGAGATATATATAGATATTATTGGTGTATATAGATATATATATAGCTATTACTGTATAGATAGTGCTGTGGCTTATACACAGACACAAAACAATGCCGTAGTATCTCCACGTGATCCTTTTTTCAGTGAAAGGCTCCAAACCAGTTGAGGCCCTGGGAAATGAAGGACGGGGAGACCTGGGAACCCCTCTGTTGAAGGGCACACACCAGCTGCATCCCAGCCTCCCGGCTCCCACCCGTCTTCAGGGGAAGGAAAGCTGGGAGCCCGGGCTGGCAGGAGCGGGGGTGTGCTCCAGCCACATACCTTGCGTCTGCTACAGAGCGCTGAGGCTCAGCCTCTGCTCACACGCTGCTCCGAGCCAACAGCTGCCTGTGCTCGGGGCAACCTGTGGGGACAGCAGCTTTGGAAAGGAATTCCTGGGGTCACCAGCTCCGCTCTCCCGGAGCCTCCACAGCACCACCAGTTACAAGACTGGGGCCATACACAGGCTTTCACAGTCTGTTTCCAGAATCCACCCTTTCCTGAAACAACCTAAACCAACCTGCTTCGACATTTCAGCCACCGTAAGCAAACACTCCCCTGCAAACCATTAACTTCAGCTCGGAATAAGCAGCTCTCTTCCACCCACGCAAGAAATAAGCTGTTATTACCATGGCACTGGTATTTGCCTCCGATGTACATCAGGTCGAAGCCCTTCTGACACCTGCAAATGTAGCTCCCAAACGTATTGACGCAGTGCCTAAATCTGGGGCAGGTGACCCTCCCGGTGGCGCATTCGTCGATATCTGTGGAAACAAGGGAACGGTAGTATCCTGACAGCAGTCAAAACACAGTCTGTACTATCCAAATTGGCTTCCAGCTCTCTCAACTGGTTTCAGTTTTCTCTGAAACTGAAGAGGCGCAGCCCAAGTATGTTCGATAGGGTCCTTTTGGCTCGTAGCTGCTCAGCCAGCAGCAGTACCCCAGCACTTCTGGCCATGCCATCTCAGTTCGGCCACACACCCCCGCAGATTTTTAGGCCTCCTGTGCTGGAGGCCTTTGCAAACGCTGCGTGACGAGCGACGCACTGGTGGAACGAGCCCGCTGCTGGATTTGGAATGCTGGCTCTGAGCTCCTGCTGCCCGGTACCCCTGCCCTTGGAGAGGGAGCATCCTCTAATTCCCTGCAGAACGCACCCCGGCTTCTCCAAGGCCCCAGAACATCCTTATAAGTGTAACGGTGCCTGTCTGAAGAGAAGCTCTTCTGTGTTAGTTGTGTAGCGTCCTTTGTCCCACCAAGCCCTGCCTGGCTGTACGGCAGCGCCGGGATTTACAGGCAAGGAGTAAGAACAAAAAATACCCCAGGAATTCTCTCCCTGAAACACCTGTTCCGGTAGCACAGGTCGTACGTGCACGTTCAACGTACATCGCCCTGCGGTAGGAAGTGGTTTGGGTTGGTAAAGCCTTGAGTGTCCCAACCCACCACCTGCCCTTTGAGCCTATCAGGAAAAATTCCCCTGTTCTGGCGTGCTCTGAACAAAGGCAGTTCAGTGCTGGGGCGCAGCATTTCGGGGTGCCCCACCAGTCGCTTACCACAGGCCAGATGCCGTTTGAGTACCTGCCCTTGGCAATCTCCTACCTGCCAGTGCCTGGGCTGCGGCCGTCCCCTCTCCCACGGAGAGGTCGGTTACCTAAGGGACTGGGATACAAGGCTCCGGGGCTCCCAGCAGTGGAGTAATTCCAAGTAATTCCAGACCTTCTGAAGCTCAAATGTGTGCGCTGCTAATTCCATTAAATGAAAATCCCGATCCAAAAAGCTGGCAACACTTTTTGATTTATTAAGCGTCATTAAGCAATTAATCAGTGAATCCCTATTTTCACTGAACACTTGCTGAATTCATTTTCAATGTGGTGGTTCCTATGATTCACCTTCAGAGCTGAATGGTTTGGGACTCTGCTGACTGCCGAGAAGGAACATTTCAACACGGGAATGACCCGCATGGGTTAAACTAAGAGCACAGTAATGCCTAGAGGAATTTCCACCTGTACTACAAATATGTGTCACATTCCCAGCTGTCTTCCAAACCCTCCTCAAACACAGATTTCGTGATCTGCAGCCAACACACACTGCCATCTTCTTACCATCACCTACACTTGTATTGGTACTGCAGCAGCACCCAGACCCTGGCTGGAGCTGGCAACCTCCCCAGCAGCATCGGGCTCGTACACGGGAGGAAATGACACAGTCCTAGCCCAAAAATAGTCATAGGATCATAGAACAATTTGGGCTTGAAGGGACCTCAAAGCCCCCCCAGTGCCACCCCCTGCCATGGGCAGGGACACCTTCCATAGCCCACGGTGCTCCAAGCCTCATACAGCCTGGTCTTG